TTTAAGATATGAATTTTGAATGAAAGAGGAAAACATTTAAAACTAATTCATTTCGGCATTGCCAACTTACTCATCGCTTCTTTTAGCGAGACTCGAACAAGAAGTGTGTCATGAACCGAAGTAATGTGTGGATGTTGCCGTGCGTCTGTTCCGTTTTTGATCACAGATGAAGTAAAAATGCAGTCAGCACTGACAAAACAGTGGCACACAAAGTGTGTTTGAAATCTTTTTTTTGTGTCGTCATTAGATTGCACATACATAATTGGTATATAATTAAGCTTATTATATAAGACAAGATGGGTAATCTGAATCAAGCAGATACAAAATCAGTTTTGGGAGTATCATATTTCCTCATATACTCCTTCATTTTGTTTCCCGCCATTTTGCTTGTGAAGCACAGTATTGTAATATCCGGGGTTCTCAGGATTTTCCTGTAACGACTGATACTCAGAAGGAACACGAGATTCCTGGTTTGAAGGCATGGGTTTGAGTTCCATATATGTGCTTGAGCCTGAAGCTTGTTCGTTACTTGACTGTTGATCAGGTGAAGATTTCACGCCGTCAAAGTCAATTTCTTCTTTGCACTGTAGTCTTTTATTAAGAACAGCTCGTCTTCTCTGCCATATCAGCCCACAAATTATAAGGAGCAACACGAACACAATACAAGACAATGGGATGACACTGGCAAGGAAGATGCTCTGCGTATCTAGTAAAAAAAAAGCAAATAACTTTCGAACCAGCCATCAATCGCTAAAAACTGCTTCATTACTTAGTTTCAGTGCATTGATGCTTTAGTTAGAGTAGATTCATCTTAAGGAATACGATGTTTTTTTTTATCCACGAAACAACAATACAATTTCAAACTTAATTTTGCGTCGTCTCTTGGTCTTACTTCATTGTATGCCGGGCATTTCGAACTCCTATCAACTCGAGTTGATAAAGTTATCAAGTCACTTCTATGACCTCTAGAAATTTCAAACCAAACTAATAAGGAAAACAGAGATATTTTAGCCTTGAGCCCTCTCAACATTGGTGCACATAACTCTGTTTTGATTTAGTTTCAACCTGACAGACCAATTTTAACATACGGAATGATCGACCTGCATCGTACACTAAAACAATTTTCTAACTGAAGAAAGAAAATGTAACTTCTGACTGAACAACTTCGGTGTATGAGATCACTACATTATGTTGCTTTTGGTACATACACATACCTGTTTTTAAAAAACTATCTGAATAGCTGTAATTAGAAGCGTAAAAAATCCAAATCAGACAAGAAAGTTCTAAGTTTTTTTTAAACTTTTTGAACGAAAAATTTTATCACGTCCGAAGTGTGAGAAAAAATATCTACCTTCACAATCGAGTAGGGTAATTTCATATAATGTTGAGCCAAAGGTGTTTGTAACGTGACAAACATACTCCCCATAATCTTCTCCAACCTGTGGCGAGACAATGAGGCTGTTATTCATCAATTTGATGTTATCACCAGTTGGAAGTTGGCCATCCTTCGTCCAGGAGTAGTTAAACGGAATATAACTTGTTGCTTGACATGAGAGAAAACATGGACTTTGCTTTTGACATATCACCGTAGAAGGGGATAATTCTTCGATAATTCTGGGTGGTACTGTGTGAGAAAAACGGAAAACGTAATGATACCAAAAAAACATTGAACAAAAACATGCTCCTGCCAACGGACCAGGGTTGAAACAAATGTGTGAGGACACTAACATGATGTACTCTTGGTTTGCGTGCTGAGCGGTGGTTTGTTCAGTTGTTACAGATGTTGTGTTTGTTTTCCAGAACTTGTTATATTTGGTTAGTACTCAGTTCATACACTAATTCGTCCATGACTCGTTAATAAGTGGCTGGAGTAAGGTTATAATAATGATGATAATATTAATGACAATAATAATAATTATAGCAAAATTTATATAGTGCCATTTCCATCTAGCCAAATGGCACTTTACATTAAAAAAGAGAAATAGAAAAGTAAGTCTAACCTAATAATGATAAACAAATATATGTTAAAAACATTATTTAAGAATATCACTATTAAAAACATATGAACCTCGTGCGTGGTCCATATCTATTGCTAAAAAAAATTTATCATGATGATGTACATAATTCTACTGTATATGAATTCTAGTTGAATTTTGTGAAATCGAAGAATTCTAGTGGATAGATAAAGGTAGGATAAATAATGGTAAGGATGGATGCTACTATATCTCCTATATGTGAATTCTAATTAAATTTTCTGAAATCAAAATATTCTAATGGATAGATAAAAGTCTACTGAATAATGATAAGGATCCTATTCTATATCTATATGTGTATTTAATGTCCCTAATTAAATACTTTGTTGAAAAGAAAACGAGGCAACCCAGTAGGAATTGTGGAAGTCCATATAGTAGAGAGTTGCAGGTGTTGAGCTTGCCGGAGATAAAAGCGTGGATCAAAATTTCAGTGTCTGATTTCGACAGACAGTTTCTTATTTTCGAAACGTCTGGATAGCCTAGTTAAAAGCAGCTTCTGATCAACCGTGTCAAACGTTGTAGACATATCAAGTAGGAAGAGCACGACGCAGTTCTGGTTGTCGATAACACAAAGGATCTCATTCTGTACTTTTAGAAGGTTGAGACTGGTCATCATGGCGACTATCGTATCGCTTAGAAAAAAAACCACACTTGGTTATTTATTTTCTTTAATTCTCTAACTACAACCGAAAAAATACACTTACTCCTCTACATATTTATTTCCCAAAAGGAAATGAAAGTGTTATTGTTACCCAGTGTTCAGTGCAAATGTAACAAAGTGTCTACCCACCAGCGACAATGACTGTCGTAGCTGTACGGCTCTCTCCAAACATGTTAATTGCTTTACATTCATAAACACCACTGTCACCAGGAACAACATCTTTTATGATAAGTATTTTGCCGTTGTTCTCGAGCTGAGCGCGAGGTATACTGGCTAGTCCATCTTTAGTCCAGGTAAGAGAAGCATTAGTTTCTTCAACAAACTCACACTTCAACAATACCAGTTCGCCAATTGCTGTAGTGGTTGTTTTTGGGAGACCTTTGATAAAAGGTTTACCTGAGTTTTGATAAAGATGGAGTAATTATTCCTTAACAAAGTTGATGACACAAAGCAGCATGTAGGCTTTGCAGCCTCTCTCATCCCAACTAAAAACTAACCTGAAAGCCCCTCAGTTGATGAAAAGTTCAATTTTCAGAAATACAACCAACACAGCATCGCAATCTTATATTAATAAAATACTCACAGCTTAGACTACATAATGAAAGATTACGGCTCAAAAAGAACAAAAAAACAAAATAAAAGGAACAAAAAGAAAGAAAAACAGCAAAGACGAACGGGTTACTATGCTTAGAACATTAATACTTATATGTGTGATAAAAGCAGAGTTAATCAGTAATTCATACTTTACTATATTTAGACACGTATCTCACAGTCTTCATGGATTAAACACACTTAAAGAGTTTTCTGTAGTGCAAGATACTACTTTTTTGAAGGTGAAAAGATCAAATCAAAACGGCAAAGAAAGCAATTAAAATCGAATCACTTTCAAGCATGAACAAGGATCACCACGATGAAGTCACTACTACATGTTATAATACATGTGAATGTGTTTAGGTGGGTAGCAACTAGCATAACGGTAAATGTAAAGAACCCACTGTATTCCCTGGTAGTTACAGTTATCGTCCCATTTGGTCCAGGTTTAATTGTCACAGCTCTGACATGAAATTGATATGTCACTCCACCCAACACATCAACTGTGTGACTCAGTGCATCTTTGTCTAGTCCAGAATCCTCTTTTGGCGCACCTCCATCGCGACTGTAAAACAGAGTGTAACTTCTAATAACTCCATTTGGTTCTGCAGGCTTGCTCCAGGACAAGGTTATTCTGGGACCATGTAAATTGCTAGGTGGCACAACAACAAAAGACAAAGACGTAGGTGCACTGGGAGCTGGAAGAACAAAGATAATGTGCTTATTAATAGAAGAATGATGCAGAGAATCAATGCATGCATGTTAATCAAAGCATGTTGTACTGTGTTGTAAATTGTAATATAACAATGTACCTCTTCCTCATTTAGTTGTTAAGGTATTGGCTTTTTCATAGAAACAATTTAAGAATTGGATTAAAGACAAGTTCACCTGAGTAACTAAACAATTCAAGTCATGAAAGCAAACTTCTAAGAGCTGATTATTCGCAAGGCATGTTGAAGAAGAAGATCTTTTTAATACCGGCCTGAGGTCCAAACTTCAAAGCCAACAGCCTAAATCAATCATCAACATCGCCTTTATGTGAGCAAGTATTATTGCTGAAAGCACTTCGATTCTCACCATCTTCCATTGTTCTTGTGAAAACAGAAGAGGTGTTCGGTCCATTACCAACAGAGGTGAAGGCCAACACTTGAAATTCATATTCAGTGTATTTATCAAGGTTGGTGACTATTTTTGATGTGTTTCCATTGTCAGTAGTCAAGGAGGTTGCTAAACCTGAGCCTTTCTTTTTATAGAAGAGTTTATATCCTCTGATGATTCCATGTCTGAAGTCCTCTCGTGGTAAATGCCATGAGGCTCTAATACTGGTTGAAGAGTTCACAGTGACATTGAACAGGGAGGGAGGTCCTGAAGGAGCTGCAATAGAACAGTCATGTTTTAATTCACATTTTAATAAATGAATCAGACTGAGTGTCATTTTCCTCGACACTATAAATGATGTACCCTGGTCCCAGAAGTTCTCTTCTGTCTAAAAAAAAAATAGGATAAATCCCTTCTCCCTAAAAAAATCGGCGCCAAGCGCCGACAACGAGCTGCAAAGCGAGCAGTTGAGAGAACCTCTGGTGGAGACCGTTGAGAACCTCACATTAGTGCATTCAGCTGTTTTGACAGCTGATCAAATCTATCACTTTTCAACAGCCAATAGGAAACGTCAGTATCAAACAAAAAACAATAATAGCCAATCAGATCGCGACGATCATCAGCTGAGTGCACCAAAGTGAGGTTCTTTAAGGTCTCCACCAGAGGTTCTCTCGACTGCTCGCTGCTTCGCAGCTCGTTGTCGGCGCTTGGCGCCGATTTTTTTAGGGAGAAGGGATTTATCCTATTTCTTTTTTGACAGAAGAGAACCTGTGGGACCAGGGTATAAATGGTGGAGCTGACTTACAGCTTTCACTTGGAAGTTTTCATTCAGGAAGATATCCATTAATGCCTCCTTCAGAGTGGCACATTCAGTCGTAGAGATGTCTGAGTTGTAAACGAAATGACCCGATATGGAGGCTTAATCAAGGCACATTTAAAGTTGATTAATGATATTGGTAAAGGAAATAACAGATTTCCAGCAGACAAGAGCGGAATTTGTTATCATAATTTCGGTGCACTTATTCTTTATTATCAAATTTCTTGAAAACTATGTCTTTTATTTCTCTCTTTCTATAAATCAATTCAAACAACTATGGGAATCAAGTTATTTAAGGTTACCGCCCACCTTCAGGGGTGTCTCGCGTGCAAGCGTTGTAGCGCGTCCGATTTAGACTGTAGATATCTAAACCCTATATCAAATTAAAGCTTATAGGACTAGCTATCAGACTATACCAAGAATTTTGAAAAAAAATGAATTGTCGAATTTTTCGCGACTTCTAAATGCGAGCGCCCGAATCACCTTTTAAGAGCTATAAGTCAAAGGGAGTTAGTTCGATTGCTCCCAAAATTTGACAGTAGCTAGTTTTACATATAAACAACAAACACGTGTCTCCGAATTTTTTATTTCTAAATACTTTTTTTCAAGAGCGACTTTTGTACGATCACTCCACATTTTTTTTAATCCTATTTCAAAAATGTTTTGTAACTTTTCACTGAAATTGAATATGGCAAATCGCAGACACGTTTTCTTAGCGCTTTGGCCCCGAAAACGGAGTAACACATTCAATAAGCGAAAAAAAACTCGCTTTAACACGTAACATTCAAAATGTGATTCGGGTGCTCGCATTTAGAAGTCGTGAAAAATTCGACGATTAATTTTTTTTCAAAAATTTTGGTATAGTCTCATAGCCAGTCCTATAAGCTTTAATTTGATATCGGGGGTTTAGATATCTACAGTTTAAACCGGACGTGCTACATCGATTGCACGAGAGACAACCCTGAAGGTGGGCGGTAACCTTAATTGAAGAGTCCCCTCCTCCATATTACTTGAGCTAAATTAAAGTTATATCCCTTACTTGTAACTTCAACAGTGCCACCACCCTCATAAAACAGGACATTTTAATGGACAGAAATTCTTATAATTATATCATGCACGTACAGGGAAACATGTATTTCTATAAGACTCAGGCAACCATATACACCTGCCATAAAATTATATGTTGGAATATAGATCAGAGATAAGATCTACCACATCAGAGATAGGACATACAAACCCATAGACAAAATTTCGTTAAGTCTGTTTGGCCTCTTCTTTAGGCCTGAATAACAGTCGATAGAGACATGTCTAGCATCCAAAAAAATTTTGTTTCATAAAAATAGTGAAATCCCTATTTCTTACCAGCCTCCTTTGTTTCCTTAAAAATAGCTGTACTATTTGGTCCATCTCCAACAGCAGTGAATGCCAATATTTGAAATTCATATTCCGTGAATTTATCAAGCCCAGTGACTTCTTGAGTGCGAGTTGCCTGATCGTTAATGGGCTGCATGCTTGCTGGCCCTGAAATGCCTCTCTTTTTGTAGAACAATTTATATCCTGTAATGTCTCCATTTCTGGAGTCTTCTGGTGGTAACTGCCAGGATGCTGTTATACTAGTAGAAGAGGTTGCAGTCAGAGTAAAGCCACCAGGAGGCTGTGAAGGAACTGCAATTGAGAAATTGTAATAATCATAATGATAAACAAAATCATTGTGGTCATCGTCATCTCCTTATCATCATTAATGATTAACTTATACACAGGATTTTCCACTTTTAAATGGTGTTTATAATCTTTTTACACGTACTTTAAAAAAGTTGCCTTTTTTACATAATTTACTCAGTTAAATTCTGTTATACATTCAAAATGTTTTTTTCTTTCAACTAGCTAATTTACTGAGAGCATTTGCTAAAGTGGTGTTAAGGATCATATTGGGAATCTGATGATATTTCATATATCATGTACATGCATAGATGCATACATTTTCATTTCACTTGAGAAAAAATATACATGTATTTGGCCTTTTATTTAAGGCCATGACACTTTTAGAAGATAACACAAAGAGCTCTCCTAACCATCTTCGTTTGCTCTCTGAACAACCACAGAGCTATTTGGTCCATCCCCAATAGAAGTAAAGGCCAACACTTGAAATTCATATTCTTTGTACTTAGTAAGACCAGTGACATTTTTGTTGAACGTTAATTCACCGTTGATACAATCTTTTTACAAATACTTTAAAAAAGATTGCCCTTTTATACATAATTTACTCAGTTAAATTCTGTTAAATATCCAAAATGTTTGTTTTTTTTCAATTAGCTAATTCCCCGAAGGCATTTGCTAAAGTGGCCTTAAGGATCATATTGGGAATCTGATGATATTTTATATATCATGTACTTGTATACATAGAGACATTTGCGTTTTCCATTTCACTTGAGAAAAATATACATTAATTTGGCCTTTTATTGAAATCCATGACACTTTTAGAAGATAACACAAAGAGCTGTCCTAACCATCTTCATTTGTTCTCTGCACAACTACAGAGGTATACGGTCCATCCCCAACAAAGGTAAACGCCAACACTTTAAATTCATATTCTTTATACTTGTGAAGACCAATGACATTTTTCTTGAAAGTTGATCCACCGTTGATAGTAAGGATGATTCCTGACCCTGAAGAGTCTTTCCTTTCATAAAACACTTTAAATCCTTTAATAATTCCATTTCTGGAATCTACTGGTGGTAGTTGCCATGATGCCGTAACAGTGGTAGAAGAAGTTGCAGTGACATAGAAGTTAGATGGAGGTCGCGAAGGAGCTGCAATTGGATTACAGTGTATTAATCAGTTTAATTAGCTGTTAGGATGTCTAAAAACTTCATGTCACACCTAAACTCGCCGCATAAATATTATCGCCGTTGCGTCTTGGAAAAGGAATCACTTGATTCCTAAAATTTCTTGTTGTTTAGTTTTCTCGTGGCTTACTGTAATGTGCGAAACAAAACGATATGAATATCTGAAATTTTCGGATTAGAAATCTGTAAAGAAAATCGTTAACATGCTTGAAACTCAAGAAAATCAAAGAGTTTGGATCATTTCAATTTTCCCAGCCACCGTAATGTTTTATCCAGAAACATGCTCGGCCACTTTGCAAATGTATTTTCGGTCAGGAAAGTGTAGAATAATACATCGCCCTCGAATAATACATCTACAACGTACATTGCTTACTCCCTTTATGCACCACAGCTACAGCGCCAGTTATTATTTCGAATAACATTTGCTCTTTTAGGCTTGATTGCGCAACTCTTCTTTCGCGTAGATAACGCATTGATTTATTCACGAACATAGTGGAGATTTCGCAAAGAACACCACGGAGATTTTTCATTTCTCATTTTTATGATTTAGTGGGCTGCGTATGCACTCCAAACGTGTGGCGCACTGACCAATTCATTCTTCTGGCCTGGGGAGTTCCCCGCAGACATTCTCGTTTCACAAATTACAGATTTCCATTTCGCGAATTACAAATTTCAATTTCGCAAATTAAGGATTCCTATTTCGAAAATCCTTAACAGATTTCTATTTCCCCAATAAAAGGTTTCTGTTCATTTCAAAAATCATCAACAGACTTCTATTTCGCAAATGACAGATTTGTACCTCGTCAATTATTAAGAGATTTCTGTCTCGCAAATTACAGATTTTCATTTCATATCTTGATTGGTTTCGTTTAGTTTCGAAAATTACAGTAAGCCTCTCTCGTCACGTGTTTGGCATCTCATTGCCAAGCCACACTTAATGAAGGTGAAAAACTTAATAAAATATGGTTCACATTTTTTCATTAGCTCTGGATTGTCACATACCATCTTCCATTGCTCTTTCCACTTCAACAGAACTTTTTAGTCCATCACCCTTAGATGTGTAGGCCAACACTTGAAATATATATTCTGTGTACTTTTCGAGCCCAGTCACAAGTCTGCTTAATGTCGATCCACTAGTAATATTCAAGAAGGAAAAACACCCTCCAAAGTCCTTCTTTTTGTAAAACAGTTTAAACCCTGTTACGTGTCTTCCAGGCCTGGTAAAGATCGGTGGTAGCTGCCAAGAAGCTGTAATGCTGGTAGAAGAGTTTGCAGTCAAATTAAAGGCAGCAGGAGGTTGTAATGGAACTGAAATGTTAAACAACAACAGTTATGTGTTTTAATTCTCCGTTGATTATTGATGTGAAAGAAAATTAACGAACCTTGTGAAGTTAAAAAGCATTGGATGTTCCCAAGAGCAGTGACGAGGGTCATCACCTGAGGGGACTGTGTATATGGATTTCATACGCATTATTTATATCCTAAGCGTGAAAATGTGCTCTACGGATAGTTGGGCAAACAATTGTGTTGCAATGGCAACCTACTATGTTCCAGAATCCTCAGTGCACTTGCAATGCAACAATCAGATCACTCACTGGATTATATCAAGGATGAATAAAAATAATGTATTATAGCAACCTACTGAGTCCAAGAATTTACCATGAACAATGATAAAATCACATCATACATACATACTGGGTTCCAGAATCTATAGTGTACAGTACTACAACCACATCATACATTGTATCATATCAAGCATCAATAATAATCCAGCTGAGTGGATAAGATACTTTAGGGTTTAAAAGA